TCTAGCTTCTCAGATCCTCGAGTTATGAACCGACCCCAAAAAACTTTGGGGGGCCCGCACGCGGGTGCCACGCGGATTTTGGCACAATTTTGAACTGACCCCAAAAAAACTTTTGGGGCCCGTACGCGGGTACCACGCGGGTTTTGGCGCCAATTTTGGGGATGGGGGCTCGAGGGGGCCCGTACGCGGGTACCACGCGGGTTTTGGCGCCAATTTTGGGGATGGGGGCTCGAACGTGCTCAGATTATGTCCCCAAAGTTTCAGCCCCGTAGCTTTTGCCGGTCTCGAGATGAAAAATCGGTACAGAGGCCCTGCGCACACACAGACACACACACACACACACACAAACACACACACACAGACAACCTCTCGTCAATATGCGTTTTTCGCACTGCATTGCTGCAAAAAACGCATAAAAAGCAGCGGCTTTCGCGAAGAATTAAGGAATTGGAGTGAATTTTATAGAAATAGGGATTTTGTTGTTTAAGTATCGCTCCGATGCTTGAAAATACTGAATATGACCTAGATTACAGCAAGTGCAAGTGGCTTCCAGCAACGATCCGTAATGCACTCAGCGAAATGATCGATATTTCGCTTTTAAAGGAGCCAGCAATGTTCTTGCTGTGCGTATCGAATTTATTTGGAATGCTGGGCTTTTACATACCTTTCATGTTTCTCATTGACATGGCTGTTGCAAAGGGACATTCCAGAGCCAATGGATCATTGCTGCTGTCCATCATTGGTATAACCAATACTTTTGGTTGGTTATTATCCTCCTTGACGTGTGTCTGTTTTTGAATTTTGAGAATCCATTCACTGGAGTCAATTTTTCATTATGTCCCAACCATGCGTAACAGCTTAGTTACCAATATTGCTGAATTGAAAAGCCAAGCATAACCGCGCTGTCGTTTTTCATCTCCTCATTTCTTACCTCCGCTCTCTAGCATACAGATGCACTTCCTCTGAAGATCATCCAAGTGATCGGTTTCCGCCTCGATCCAGTCCACTCCGTCCTGTTTCTGTTGTTAAAAAAAATGATAAATTAGTTTTTGGTTTAGATCACAGTTACATTAAAACCGTGCTAATGCTTCTTTTCCTTGCATAATTCGAACGGTTTGTTCGATACTTCACTGG